TGTGATTGTGTGACTGTGGAAAGGGATTGATCTCGTGTTAGATTGCTCTCACTGTCTGGATTGTATAGTGGAATTTTGCACTCTCTCTCTCTCTCTCTCTCTCTCTCTCTCTCTCTCTCTGGCGCTCTCTCTCTTCCTGCTCGCTCTCGGGTTTTACTATGCAGTAAAAGACTCTAGTCAAGCAAGTCTAGTATCGCCGAATGCTGAAGCGGAGTCGGGATGAGATGTCCTGCGTTTTCATCTTCAGCTCTTCTCGCTGCTCCATGAGCCTTCCGACCAGCGCTTCCTCGTGGCGAGGAGCTGACTGTGGCGGCTGCCCCTAAAGCCTACACACCCCAAACCGAATATCTTAAGTCAGCTACCTCTGGGATGCAACGGCCAAAAACTTAAGAGCTCAAGGTTAGCGGGCTTCAAGGCCGAGTGGTGAGGTCGTTTCATATGTCTTCCGGGACAGTGCTGTAGAACTTCAGGGTTTAGGGTTTTGGGGTTAAGCAGCCTTCAAGTTAGAGCATACAACTCCTTGTCCGCATGTTTCGTTTTTTGGGGTGGTGCCTCAGCAGGATAGATAGATAGCTATATAAATATAAATATATACATATATATATATATATATATTTAGATATGTATATGTATTTTTTACATGAGAAGCTGCGATACGCCGGTCATTCGCGAGCCAAGGGTGAAGGTTGGCTAAGTCGCAAGCAAGAAGAGTAAATCCAATGCATTGCTGGAAATATACTGGGTGATGCAGCCCGAAGCCCTAGGCCCTAAGCTAAATCAAAATCCAGAACCATCCCTGGACACATTTGCTTATTTTGGCTGTGCGGAATTGCGGAATCAAGTTCAACGACTGCCAACATCAACCCCGAACCGCAAAACTGTCAAACGGTGTCGAAGAACAACTCAACAGTGGCAGGCCACAGTTTCGCGTATCCATTGGGATTCGTCACGTTTTGATTGAAACTTGCTACCCATATAGGTCCCAATGCAGAAACAAAGATAGAGACCCATATGTACGTGTTGGTACTATCAGAGCAGCACTAAATCTGGAACCCACGTGCTCCTTCGCCTCGATGTCGATTTCCATTGCCCTGACAGTTTAACGTTGGCAGGGTTCGGAATATGCACAGAAGAGATAGCCGAAGCATGAACCGTACGTTCGACCGAGTCGGATCTAAAACAAATTATGCTTCGAACTTGGCGGTCGAAAACATGACGCCGTGTGATGCAACGTCCTTCGCAGCTTATTGATTATACCGTGTGGCTTCGGGGGTAGAGCATGTAAGGGTTGCGTTTTAGGGTTCCCCGGCGTCTGTCTTTTGCCAGAAACATAGAAAGATGGAGGCCCTTTCCGCCCAAGATCGATCCGTGGTGTCAGACCAAGGAGTCTGTCTTCTTTACAATCGGTCGCGCTACGAAAACTGGCTGAACATTGTGCAATGGAGCGGCAAGGCAGAGTGAATTCGTGCAGCAGTTCAGAATGTCAAGCCGCAGTTCAGGCTTGGACGAAAGGCATGATAACAGTGCAGCAACTTGGATGTTTGGGTCTGTAGGAGCTGCACCCCATAAAACTATTGACGATGGTGCGTTAGCGAGTTTGCTTGACGAAATCGGAAATGCTCCAATGTGCTGAGTCGTTTGTGCTACGGACCTCAAACCGTTGGCGCATCAAAAAACGTGGTAATGCAAAGCAGTTGCTGTGCTTTTAAAGCTGCTCCCGGGCTTAATGTCTAGCAAAACTACATGTGTGCTTAAACCCATTATAATATTCTGACTATACATGTATGTATGCATTTATGTATATGGCTGTATATGTATATGCATATGTATATGCATGCCTAAGCCCCCCAGATATGTATGAATACATGTTATGATCATGTATGTATGCACACACAAACATATATGCAGGTATATGTAGCAAACACACACACACACACACACTGCAAGGGTTGCACGTCCATTTGACCAGACCTGCCGGCAAGCTTGCATTTGCGCTCGGCCAAATGACGGGAAGCATATCCAACCATGCTCAAGGCAATGCTCAAGTTTCCTTTTCAATTCTGCAAGGGGTATTTATGTTTCTGACATAGGCTTCGAGCTGACGACCAGTTGTTTAGAAGGTTTACATCCAAGACTGAAGGGTTGCGGGGTTCGAATTTTGACTTGTTGGGCTTAGGCTGTCTGCGCAAGGGCTTGAATAAGGTTCAGGGTAAGGTCGCACGAGTGTAAACATGAACGATGCATTCTAGCCTAAAGAACTTTCAATGACAGCGTGCGTCAACCTGCCGAGACCGCAATAGAACCCACTCCATCAAATTGGCTGTAGTAGTAGTAGTAGTAGTAGTAGTAGTAGTAGTAGTACTAGTAGTAGTAGTAGTAGTCGTAGTCGTAGTCGTCGTAGTAGTAGGAGTAGTAGAAGTGGGAGCAGGAGTAGTAGGAGTAGTAGTAGTAACAGGTTTCACAGATCTGCGTATTGCTGTGAGATATCACAGTAGTGGCAAGTGTTTCCGGCGTTATCACTTTTGGAAGCAAGGTCCCTGAATTGACAACTAATTTGCATACTTTGCAAGGCGCACGGTCACTGAGCAAAGGCAGCTAGTAGGTTGCGACTGCTCCGGTAGTTACTACTTTCATCGCAATACTGCTGCCGCTAGTTTTTCGCAAGGGGCGTCCGGGAAAATACCAGTTGCTAGGTATGCTTTGCTGCTTTTGTTGCGGGGAGGTCTATCACTAATCAGCATCTAGCAGCACGTCACTGAGACACAGCTCGCCGCTAAACGAGTAGACCCAAAATCTAGCTCCTGAGTGCGAAACCCCAAAACCCCAAACCCGAAAACTCAAGGCCCTAGACCCTACCCATAGGCCCTAAAGTAGTTCCTTCTTGGGGTTCATATATAGAATCCTATAAGGTAATCCCCAAAAGGAACTACTATGGGGCCTATGGGTACACCCCAAAAAACACAGCTTAGCAGCTAGCTATCGAAACAAGCACACTTCAGACCTGAAGCCCAGCCAAAAGCCCAAATCCAAGAGGCATGCAGAACGCAACAATAAATAATGTAGGCTACTAGGGGGAGAGTAATACTTGGAATAGGGCTTTGAGGTTTCAGGTATATCATAGTTTAACGCGGAGAGATTTTATGAAGGAACGCTAAGGTGTCAGGTCCCTGTGTGAAGGAACCTCTCTTGCGCTTTTCGTGCACGGAGCTCGCGCTCCTGCGGAGAGCGCAGCTCGGGGACCAAGGTTTGTAAGGATTCAGGCTTCGTGAGGGCTTACGAGCAGGGTTCAGCGCCGCTTCAGGGTCGAAACTTAAGACTCAAAGGCGTTGAGGCTCGAAAGTATGTAGGTTTCAATATCAAGAACATGCAGGCCTCAATAAGGGCTGTTGCCCTATATAGGGGGTTCAAGCAGGCTTAGGATTTGGGTTCAGTGCTGGCTTTGGGTTTGAATTTAGCGTTTGTGCAGGAACGGCTTCACCTTCAGTCCGACACTGTTTGGTGTTCTTACAGACAGAAGATCTCTGCACCAAGATCTGGCAATACTAATAATAATGCTAGGCTGCCGCTTATATTCATGCTATAACTAATAATTCTGGTACGAATACTATTACTATGACGAACACGAAGTACAAATACTAATAGTAATGTCAATACCAACATTGACAATAATGCAGATCATGATTTTTCATACTAAGGTTGCTAATATAAGTGCGATCGCAAAAATAAATAATAGTAAGAATACGGATAACACTTGTGATAATGCTAGCAATAACAATAACAATAACGATCACACTAACGACAATGCTTCTGATAGTAACACCAAACAAGCAACAAATGATGATCGCGGCAAGCAAAGCCTCGAAATCTCCGGGCAAGGACCCAACCAAAGCCCGAATGCTCAAAACCGAACCTCAAGCTCTCAACCCTAGCCATACCCTTTAAACCATAGACACCTTGACAGTAAGCCTTATAGTAAAACCTTTTTTGTAAACCTTATAGAGACCTCTATAGTAAGCCTGATACCTCTCTATAGTAAGCCTTATAGTAGCCTGAATTTATGGTAACCCTCCTAGTCCTTTAACTTACCGCAAGCGACCCGAACCGGAGGCGTCGGGGTCCTCCTCACGCAGGGCAGCCTTCAGTTCGTCCTGAACCGGACAAGGCCGATCTAGAGCTGTGGGCTTAGGGTCTCAGGGTGTGGGTAGTTCTCTACATTAGGGTGCCTTTTAGGGTCCTTATTATAAGGGTGCCGTATTATATGGGGACCTAGAAAGGGACCCCAATTTAGAAAACTACCCGTGTAGGGTTTTAGGAGTGAGGGTTCTTAGTACTGTGCTCAGTCCGCACTGCTCTGATGATTCATGATCACGTTTAGTTGGTGTCTGACATGACTAGCTACTCTGAATAGTCCTTAGTTGTTCTGGTGCATTCCGGGTCTGGAGACCTGTGTGTTTGGCTGCATGTAGACTCGTGTTGCAGATTCTTTGCTCTGCATCGCACAAGGGAGAACGCCTCTTTGTAGATTCTGCAGCAGAGGTAGACTTCGGAGGCCCGGAAGCTAGTGAAGGTACTCGGTTCTAAGTTTGGGGTTTTGGGTGCAAGACGGTGAGGATTTGGAGGCTTAAGACGGGCTTTGGGCTTCAGTTACGGAGGTGAGTCACTAATGCCAAGATTCCTGCACGCGACGCCAAAGAAAGCAGTTCGTCATCCGAATGTCAAATACTTACGGGCCCGCGCGGTTGCATGACGGAGCGGCACCTTAAATCAAGAATGTTCGAGCAACACATAGTGCAGTTCTCACGACTTCGCCCCACATCCTAAACTTCTAAACCCTCAGACTAGATTGGACCCAGATGTCACGTGATATAGTCGAGTTGGCAGGAAGGAAGAATCTGCGGTCACGGAAGCAGCTCAAACGTCGCAACCCAAGACAACACAAGCAAACATTGACACAGCAATACCTACACAAACGCCCTGACTTACTCGAGCATCACCTTGCACATCCCATGCCGATCGTTGCCAGTGGAGCCTCGAATCTGTGAGCCGAACAATCTACCATCAAACGCCAACCTCAGCTCAAGCATACTTAAAGGATCATGGGACTTAGTAAGTAGGGTTATCATCAAGGAAACTGTACGTATATTCACTTATCACCCAATTAATGGACTTATAACCTTACTTACTAAGTCCCATGATCCTCCAAGTACCTCTAAACCCCAAGAGCCGGCAAAGAGTCTCGGCTGGCCTCGCCAGACAAAAAAGACTCGGCTTTGCTGCTCCGGCGAGAATCTGGGTGGACGGCTATTGCAGAATTTGGGGAAGAGACATTGGCATGATATGGTTTCTGTTGGTCTGACTAGGGTTTACGGTCTAGGTGATGGCTTAGGCGTGTTTGGTGCCGCTTCTCTGCATGTCAAGGGCTGGAGCTGGACATAATCTAGACATTGCAGAGAGACAGAGTGGGACCAAGACAGGGAGCCAGAGAGAGAGAGAGAGAGAGAAACATCACAGAAACGCAGAAGCACTGATGCCACGACACCTACTCCCTAAACCCTACTCCCGACCTAAAGCAGCCGACCCAGCCCGTGCCGGCGGCGAGCTCAGGGCTCAATGTGTCGATTCGGCGTTTGGGCGCAGAAGACGGGAATGCTGTGGGAGCCTTGATACTTGAAATAGAACTCTGGGCTCCCTTTAGAGTCCAGTTATGATAGGAACCCTCAGGAATAAAGAGTTGTAGCGGCCTTAATGACTAGAATAAGGTCTTGGGCTCCGGGCTCCACTTGCAGTAGAATTATAATCAGGAGCCCTGAGGAGGGATATTGGTTATTCAGACATGCAGAGGAATGAGATATGGCAGTGTCAGAAATGAGGCACCCTAGCATAGACCCGAAAATCGCAGCATCCAGAGTAAAACGAGATGAAACACTAAATCAAACAACTCAAGCCAGAAGTGCTAAAAGCAGAAAAACCCTGCAGAAGCTCAAAAATGAGGAAGATACCCCACCCTAAACCCTAAACCTTAAACCCTAAAACCTAAACCCTAAAACCTAAACCTTAAATCCCCACCCCCAATCTCTCTCAGGATCCCAACTGCATCGCTCCAACGTTTCCTTGGACCGGCTTGAGAGGGCTTAGGGCGTATAGGGTGCAAGGGTGTAGGGTTTAGGGTTACAGGGTTTAGCGTTTAGGGTTTAGGGTTGGGTGCAAGGGTTTGAGGGTTTAGGATGCTAGAGTTTAAGGATGAAGGATGGTTAGGGTTTTGGGGTATCGCGTTTAGGGTTTAGGGCTTTGGCTAGGGCTTGAGGGTTTGAGGATTTGGGGCGCTTGGCCCCTAGGGCTTGGGGTGAAAGATAGAAGCCCGAATGAATCCAAGTTAGTAAACGGGTCTTACTAATTACAACAGGTTTGGGGGTATACTATGCTATGTTTACAATAAGGACCCAGAATAGTAGCAGAAATTCTTTAGGCCCCGATACAGAGAGGAGAGAACATTCCCGTTTTGGGTTTTTGGTACCCCCACCCCCAACCTAGCAATACAATATGTGACAACAATCCTGTCCCCGCGCTAGAACCCCAATACCCGTATCTATCCAAGTGCTATAGCCTGAAACGGGACTGGGGGTCTTGTCGCAAAGGGTTAAACAGATGCTTATCTTCTTGGATTCCCAAGAATGTTATAGCTATAATGTTGTCATAACTCATAAGCAGCTATATATTATCATCCCATTATAATATTACCTTGTTGGGAACAGAATATATTTTGATTGTGAGATGATCATACTTAGCTTCAATCTCCTGAACGCTTAGGTTGCTCCAGTATTGTGTGTCTCAGGTTTGTCTTCTCAAGACTTAGTATCTGTATCGCCGTCTGAGTGATAAAGACTTTCAATGTGTTCAATCATATTCGAGTATTGTTTCATTCGTTCCTCATCGTCTCTCACTTTGCTTTCTAGCATTTGAAGGTCTTGCCCAATGTTGTCAGAATCTTCTGTTCTAACTTTCGCAACTCGACAATGTTAAAGGTATAGTGTGTTGTGTCTCTCTTCAGCTTGTATAATTTGACAGTGTATTCGGCGTGTATTTTGTATGTGTTCAAGTTTGTGTAATCCATGTCCCTGAACAATCAAAAACAGCTTTTATTCTTTAATTCATTTTCCTCAGAAAAGCTGCGCTCTTAAGATTTACTGGACCACGATTATTTGACAGACTTATCTAAGCATTCAGAACAAGTCAAGGTGTATTTAACATAATTGTAAGAGTGTTTACTGACGCAGTATGTTCACGTAAAGCAACTGATATCTTTGACTTGCTTACACCGATAACACTTCCGAGTAATGCCAGTATCGGGTTCACTATAGGCACCGAAATCAACCATTATCTTGTTTGCTTCTATTGGCACAACTGATGTTATATGTTAGAATACGGTTATAACTACTCTAGAGATAAATCTATTTATAACAGGGGTTTTACCTTAAGATTGAATTAAACCAATATCACTTCCACACTCTTATGGTATGCTAATGATTCTGCTCACCGCGCGGGAGCAATGGGACCTGATTTTCTTCTAGATGTCTGGGCAGGGGAACTAGACACTGCCAAGTTACTATAGAAACTTTTATTTATATACTAACCCATCATACTTAAATCATTCTTCAAAACAGTTGCATCATCTTTGTCTATCCTTTCAGCATCCTCCTACACGTTGTCTTCTCTTTCTTCTGGGGCCCAGTGTCGTTTCCATCGGAGGTGATTCCTCTCCCCATCTTCCAACTGCTCCCATCTTCAATTATTGTTTTACCTGCAATGTTTATCTTAGTTTCTGTTTCGCGAAAAGTTTCCATTCTACATTTGCAAGGTAAACAGTTTAACCCTTCTGTGTTTAAGTGGAAGCCACCTTCGTTTGATTCCCTCTGTCTCTCACTCGTTAACCTTTCTGAGATTTTTCATGTACGCCAGAACTGCCTTAACCAGTTCTAGCGAAGCCATGCAACACCTTTTTAAGCTTGGTATCTTGTAGTACCACTGTTTCAATTGAATCAATCTCCTCTATCGTTTCTGAATACTTGTCCATCATATGAAAAGATGTTTATCTCCTAGTAAGTAATCAGTGCAGCAAACCTGAAGTAGAACCGATGGACATACCCGAATATAAATATACACAAGTTTAATATGATGCCGAAACTACCCGCCAGTATGTTACACGTGGCTTCTTCAACAGGCGGTAAAGCAATATTGATTCAGAAACTCATATGAAAACATACAGAGGATCCTTGGAGATAGCATACATATGTTCATCCAGTGTTCACATGGACGACACTTGGACGGCAGTCAAGAAATACATAAGCGATGCAATGAAGGTAGACGCCAAACAATTACAGCTTTGATTATGAGGCGCTTGGATAGATGTGGGTATTGGGGATCTAGAGTGGGAGCAGGATTTTTGAACCTATTGTATTGCTAGGTTGGGGGTGGCGGGTACCATATAGCCACAACGGGAATGGTCTCTCCTAACTTATATTACCCCAATCTTGCCGCCAGCTTGGACCATCGCACGCAGCAGCAACGGGCAATAAAATGCAAACGAGGGGCACCAAACAACACTCCGGGACTACGATAACATATGCGAGCACATATTACGCATACTCTCAGGTGCGACGTCAACGTGCAACACTGAATGTGAGGATCATAACACTGTTGGCGAGGACTGCTAATGGTGATGATGATGATGACGATGACGATGACGATAACGATGACGATGAGGTTGAGGATGAGGATGAAACGATGATTATCTCAATGCTATACTACTGGTAGTGTTGCTGCACTTTTGAAAGATAGATTGGGATTAGCACTACGATGCTCTCAGCCCTGAGATAAGACCCACACCCCAAACCCAAAACCACAATCCTAACGAAACACACCCGAACCATGATTGCAAGGACTACCTTTCCCTAGATTACCCTAAGGCTCCAGATGCTAAATAGCAGGTTACTATTTCATATACTGTGTAACCCTGTGGCCCACTCTGAACCCGAAACCCCAAAAACCTTAAACCTCAAAACCCCTAAACCCCTAACCCCCTAAACCTTAAACCCCTAGACCTTAAAGCCCTGAAAACCTAAACCCCTAAACCTTAAACCTCTAAACCCTAAACTCCAAAAGCTTGAACGCCTAAACCCTAAATCCTTACACCCCTAGACCTTAAACTTCTAGACCCTAAACCCCTATACTCTACACCGGATGCAACCCAGCGACAACTAGACCCAGAGACTCCAAAACCCCTTAATTGAGGAATATACCTCAAATTATACAGATTTTTAGAGGATCCCGAAAAAGAATGGAAATTATATATGGGTGGTTGTCAAAATTATGGTCCCTTTTTGGGTCCTTATTATAATACGGCACCTGTTATTTAGGGTACCCCAAAAGGGACCATAATTTTGACAACTACCCATATCTTAAGTAAGGGGTTTGAAAGGCCCCGCCTGCCAGGCCGGACCCAGCGAATGAAGCACTTCCTTGAGAGACAGGACTCAGGGTTGAGGGTTTTTAGGGCTTCGGGGCGTAGGGTTTAGGGTTAAGGTTTAGGGTTCAGGGTTCAGGGTGTATATAGGGTTTGGGGTTTGGTGGTTTTTGCTTTCGAATTTCGGCGTTTGGGATTTAGGGTTTTAGTGTTTTGGGTACCGGGGGGGAGAGAAGGAGAGAGAGGGAGAGAGAGGGAGGGAGAGAAGTCCATGAGTTTCCGCTGAGTGTTTCAGTCGGGTACGTCGGAATTTGGGTTACGCCAGCTTCTTCTCAGTCCCTTAAGGTCCCTTATAGGTATAAGTCCCTATAACCCATTCCCCCATTCCCTACTAAGCACCGCTTTATCCGGGTTGGCATAGGATGTTTCAAGACATGTCTTCAGGATCTTGCAAGGTTTGGATTCAGTCCCTAAGCCAAAAGGCCGTAAACCCTACCCTAAAACCCTAAAGCCCTAAATCCAAAACCCAAAACCCCATAAAACCAAAACCGAAAACCCTAAACCCAAAACCCTAAAACCCTAAATTTTGTCGGTCTTAGCTCAAGGCTTGGATGGCAAAAAGGCGGCTCAGGGCTTAACCTTCGCTTGTGGTCGCCTTCGAGGGTCTGCGGTGTACCCAGAGACTCCAGGGCTCCAAAGGGAGGCAGTAGGGGAGATCGGGCCCTCAAATCCCTACTGGGTTTTGCGGTTTCGGGTTTAAGGATTTAGGGTTTAGGGTTTAGGGTTTAGGGTTTAGGGTTTAGGGTTTAGGGCAATTCTTACTAGGGTTCCGATTATCATCTGTATAATCTAAGGTGTATTCCTCAATTAGGGGGTTCCGATTATAATCTGTATAATCTAAGGTGTATTCCTCAATTAGAGGGTTTTGGAGTCTCTGGGTAGGAGTCTGTGCGGACTAGCCTTTACAGGCAGCCGCAAAAGGCTGCAGTACCATAGACCCATGCGAGTCTTCATCTCTACCGCCTACGGAAGTCACGGAATAGGAGCCAAACCGAAAACCCTAAACCCTAAACCGTGGCTCCCATTCCCAACCGTCAGTTCAGGCCCCTAAAGCCCAAATCCTCACTCCTCCTCTTCCCTCAAAAAGTAAAACAACGGCCTTAATGTTTTTTAGCAGGGTTTTGGGGCCCACCATATTATGATTATAAAAAAGGACCCGCAAAAACTAGTATTGGTAATTATTGAGGCCCCTACATGAAACCTAAACTTTGGCCCAACACAAAATCTCCTGTGACATTTGTTACATTAACCCTGCATCCTCTCATCCCGTGGCTCGCTTGAACTTGCACTCCCACCCCGGGGTCTCCGGGTTTAGGGCTTTAATTAGGGTGTGTTTAAGGGTACTATACTTTGGGGTTCAGGATCTATAGGGCTTAGGGCTTTAGGGTTT